GTGTGTGTTGTGTGTGTTTGTGTGCATGTTCATATATATATATATATATATATATATATATATATATATATATATATATATATATATATATATATATATATTATATATATATATATATATATATACTGCGATACCCTGCATCATACTGTGCACTGCATCCCCTTATCTATCGATCTCTCTCTCTCTCTCAGGTACGAGACCTAACTGCCGAAGCCCTGAGCGACGGGGGTTTCCTCGCGCCCTTGGCTCGCTTCGGGGAAACCATCAGCGGCAGAGCGGACGCCTACATGTATGTCTTTGCGCATCACGACAAGGACATGCTGGTGAGGTTTCCTTTTCGTGTGTTTTGTTTGTTATAGTATTTGTTTTATGTTGTGACGTTTCTTTGGTGATCTGAAATTCTGCCATCAGCTTTCGTCGTTTAATGTATGGATAGTGCTGTTGTCACTATTTAATACTTTTGATCTAAAATATTTAAGAAGTATTCATAATTATTGAATATATGTCACCCAAAACATATCCATCATTATTCACCTGTGTGAAATGAGCAATGAATATCACCCAGTGTACATTCAACATTAAATCCTCCCATTCTTTATTTAGATGATCCCCATTCTTCATAAATGCCTCATTAATCGCCACCGCTAATTATTCGCCACCGAGCACACCCACAGTCGCCCACCGCCAATGGACACTCAGTATTCCTGCCTCCCGCGCCCCCCACAATGCTCGCCACATTAAACATTCAGCGTCCGCAGGTCTCCCCCCCTCCCCCAAAGACAAGACTTCCGTTCATCCCCAAACGCACGTCCTGCCATAGCTCGCCACCATTCCTCATTCAGTGCCCGTCAGTCTCTCTCCTCTTCCGCAGAGAATGGGCAGCGTGTTCGGGTCGGAGGTCCCACTCGTGTTCGGTGCGCCTTTCATGGATGAACCTGGTCCTTGGAGAGGGAATTATACGAGGCAGGACGCCCTTGTGTCGGAAATCATCATGAGGTATTGGACTAACTTCGCCAAGACCGGGTGAGTTGCTTGGGTTGTCCTTTGGTGTTTTAAGGGAAGAGGCGGGGGGCGTAACGAGTGATGAGGGGGGGGGGGGGTAGTAATGACAGGAATGGAGATCATGGCAATAGTTACGGGAGTCTAAACAGTTTTCATAGTTCACGACGATTAACCGAGCTCACTCTTTTATCGACGAGCTAAGCCTTCACTCTTTCCTTGTTTCCAGGGATCCCAACTTGCCCGAAGACGTTAAACTTTACTTAAGCCTCAAGGACCGTGGGAGGCAGAGAAACATGACTTGGGAAACCTACGACTCCGTGTACGAAAAATACCTCGAGATAAGTAAGGAAATTCGGCTTGACGTACATTGTGTTGCGTTGTCAAGAGACGTTTTCTTTGGCCTTGACTTTGTTCTTTCCCTTTCTTTTTCTCTTCCTTCCTTCTCTTTACCCGCCTGACTGACTGTCTGTCTGTCCGTCTCTTTTCATTTCCTCACATCTCTATGTAAATTTCTCTTATCTGTTCATCGATGCATCTCCCTTTGCCTCTACACTCCATGCAACTCTCTCAGCATCCCGGCCGAGGCCCTCAAGCGACCTCCCTCTCGCCCGCAGGCTTCCGACCTCGCCAGAAGGACCACTACCGAGCGCACAAGGTGGCCCTCTGGAACTGGCTCATCCCTGAGCTGGAGGAGGCCGGCGCGCAGTATCCTGAAACGGACTCCGAGGCCTGGCACGCCTCCGAGGACCCCAAGCACTTCATAGGTCCCGTCAGGCCGCTCGACCCCTTCAGGTAAGAGGGGAGGAAGGGAGGGACGCGTCTCTTATAGGGACGGGCCGGCGGCTGAACTCTGGACGCGGAAGCGGAATAATGGACGTGCGGATGGCACATGGGGGGGGGGGGGGGTATTGCATATATAGACAGAGAGAGAAACGCATTCATTTCTCGTAAGAAACTTCCCTAAGCATCGTCTCTTTCCTCCTCAGGTTCCTGCACACGACGAAGACTCCTGCAACGACGGCGGCGACGGCGCTGCCGACGCCCAGCGACGAGTACCTCCCTCCGAACGTGAGCGCCGCGCAGGGCAGCCCCGTCAACGGCTCCTCGAGGCCGTCCGCCGGCCAGTTCCTCGACTACACGACGGCCCTGACGCTGACGGTGGCCATCGGGCTGTCGCTGCTGGTGCTCAACGCCATCCTGTTCGCCGCCCTCATCTACCGCCGCGACCGCAACAGCCTCGGGCCCAAGATGAAGTACGACAGCGCCTCCGCGCAGCCGCTGTGCACGGTGGACAGCGGCGTGCGTTCCGTGTCCACGCACGAGGCGCTGGCGTCGCCCTCCAAGGACGGCAAGTCGGCCTGCAGCGTCGACCTGCAGTGCACCGAGCTGCACACGTTCCCGACGCCGCCCGACATCGGCGACAGGAACACCGAGGTCACGTTCCACACGAGCAACTCCATGCACTCGCTCCTCTCGCAGCCCACGAGCCAGTTCATCCCGCCGCCGCCCCTGCTCGCCACCACGCCGCCCACGCCGCCCGTGTCCACCCACGCCGACGTGCTGGAGACGGGCGCGTGTGCGGGCGCCCGCTGCTACAGCGACGTGTCCAACGGCCAGTACCCCGACATGGTGAACGGCCAGTACCCAGCCGATGTGACGCAGTACCCCGGCGAGAGGACGTACCCAGACCAGTACAGGGTACAGAGCCAGTGCGCAGGCGACCCTCCCTTGCCCGGATACCCCCACGTCGACCTCCTCGTGCCCCTACCCCAACCATCCGCAGTACTGCGGCCAGTACCCCGCCAGCGTGAGCCAGTACTCCTCCTCGACCGACCAGTATTCCATTTCCGGAAGCCAGTTCTCCAGTCCGGGCGCGTCCTGTCCGGCGACCTCGTGCCAGTTCTCGACGCCCGGAGGCCCGTGCCCCCCTCCGCAGCCGGCGTCCTACTCGGAGGAGCCGCAGGAGGTGATCCTTCCGAGGACCAATCGCAGCGCCACGCTCCAAAGAGCTTCCTCCTCCTCCTCCTCGACCTCCTCCAGGAAGCCCCAGCCCCCCCCTCGCAACTCAACGCTCCCCTCCTACGCCACGCTCCCGAGACAGAGCTCCAAGGACTCGCTCTCTCACATCAACGCCTGAAGCGCCAAAGACCCTGGGCCGAGCGCTGCCGGCGACGTGAGAGGGCCTCGAGTGCGAGTCTGTCCGCGGAAGGCGATGGGTTGCGCAGTTAAGATGTTCCATGTGTGGTTTATGTGATAATCAAAGATCTTTAAGGTGATGCGGAGAGAAAGACGCTGCATTTACTCTATCGTTCAGTGAAAAGACAAGAGACGAGTACACATGTTCCAGAATAATTTTTCGTCAGCTACTGTAAGAGCAGTTCAAAATAAGCAAGGTTAAAAAGAGAGAGGAATCGCCGATTATTGTTTTCTTAATCGTGCTTTTTTCATATCGCTTGATTCTTATTTTATTGTATGGGCAAAAACGAATTCGTGCGGGATTTAAGGAACACTATACATGTCACTTATGTTCATATCAGATGTTTTTATTTTTTGTCGCTTTTGAAACTGGAAACACTTGGCAATATCAGAAAAAATAACTTGGTAAAATCTGCTTCGTTTATATCTAATCTTGATTTGGTGTTAAAGATGTGTAACTTCTAAAAACGGTCGTGACAGAACGATTTTTCTAAAGGTTTTCGTAACTTGATGTATCTCGCCGTATTTTCCAGCCTAAAAGCCGTTTGAATTTGAAACCTACAGTCTCTGTCTGACCTGAAAAAGAGAGAAAAAGTTGTGTGGGTTTTCAAGAACAGAAATGAGAGGCTGAGATTACGCACATTTCGTAATTATAAACTACGTAAACCTCAGGTTTTCCACTTGAAGTGAATGAACTCTTCAAGCACATCTTGACACTTTTTTCGATCCTCTAAGTTGGGATTGGATCCCATAAATGTGAACTTTTATTCTTCTTTCATTTTTGCCTTTCTCAAATTAGATGACAATTTCTTAAATGCTTTACTGATTTCTATTGATGTTTGGCTACTGGTTCTGACTCATGGAATTTGGAAACCAGTAAGAATACATTGTGCTTTGTATGATTATTGTATTTTTTACGTCATATATGTCGTGTAGCCATGTACATGAATCAGATCAATGAGCAACTTGAAGAAATAATTTCAGACAATTTAGTGAATGGAAAAATGCTAAACAGATCATTTACAGCAAATCTTTCTGCCTGTGATTGAAACAAGGATTTCTTTGGTGCAGAAAACGACGAAAAAAAACTTTTAATCTTAGTGTAAGGGAAAATTATCTTGCTGTATGTTAGTTGAACACATCCTGTTGTCACGTGTTTGGTGACAACAGGAAAATGGATTTGAGAATAAGTGACAATAATACGAGACGATAGTGCAATAAAAGTAACTCCACAGTCTGGTGAGTGCTACATTGTGCAATGAGAAAAATAACTTTGTTTTCTTCTGACTTTGTGGACAATTAAAATCCCGAATAGATTTCAAATTTTTTCGTGGATTTACATTCACATTCAGTTCTATGGCTGAAATTTTTGGATGTGCGTCACTAACCGGCTTTGTTATATTAAAAAACAAATCAAAACTCTTTCTGTGTAGGTATTTAATATAGTTATAAGTTTCATTGTTGGTGTTTCTATTTTTGTTTAAGACATAAATCAGAGGGAAAATCAGATAGCTGTTACATAATTGTAAAAAAAAAAGAGAAATGAATAAACTAAAGTACATCTGTGAGAGATATAATGGAAAAGAAAATAATTTGCATTCAGTTGATACATATCGTTCTACAAAATTGATGCTAAAATCAACTGAAATATTGTTGAATGAGAAATCGAACTGAGGTGGTTAATAGATGGTTAAAAATGTCAAATTAGTTGTTACGCGTAAAACATAGGTCATATAGGAGAAACAGTTTCATAGATTTGCTACAAAAATGTTGATTTATAATGAAACTCGTAGAAGTTTTGAAGTTTAGTGGAGAAAATAAATAATAAAATAAACGTTAAATATTAGAACAATGGCATGAAGTTGTCCTCTCACTTTTGTGATTTTAATTCCGCTTTATATCATAAGAAAGTATATTATTAGATTTTTTTGTCATTATTATTTCTATGTATTTTCTTTTATGCACGACGTTTAGGGATGATGAAAAAATGTAATGATGTAAGTTATATAATGTGGCTTCAGCGGTTCTAAATTTTTACGACCACATAAGAATTAAAAAAACAAAAAACTTATTTTTCATTATTCATTTTTAATAGTTTCTATTATAATCATCATCCTTTAAGTACGTAAAATAATTGCAACTAATCTCCCCTTCCCCTTCATCCCCATCGGAAAAGCGAAAAGGGAAAATACAAAACGATAGCGAGATCCGTTCTGAAACCTATGATTTCCTGTAGTTCTCGTAGCCCCGTTTAAGCCGAAAGTAGCCCCGCCAACCCATTGTATGTTTAAGCCCGCGACACAGTAGAGCTTTTAAAGTTACATTACACTTTGTATTCTATTTTGTCCACGTTAACTTCGCGTGTTGTCAACAAGGTTGTTTCATGCTCAATCCAAATAACTGTGAGGTCATGGCAGTGGTGTCAGGAATATATTTTATCTCGGAGATTTGAATGACTTTCAAAGTGGTGTGTGGAATATGATGTACCATCTTTTATGTAATAAAGTTTACACAAAAATGAATGGGTTTGATGAAACGCGTTTTAATTCTGTACTGATCCCTGAGGTAAACTAGACCGACTACATTTTACTTATGCTACTTTTGTTTATCGTAATCACGGCACATATAATAATAAAAGTAGATAATTATAATTGTTATTCTTGTGTAATATTGTTATTCTCTTATTGTTGTGAATATTTTACAGACATTGTGTTTATTGGGTATCACTATCTTTGTTGTTTTTTTCTATTTTTACTGTTTCTTTGTTATATTAGTACTATAACGGTCTTAACCAGTTTCTGTTGATGGTTTGGTAGTTTATTTCCTAAAACTTTGATGCAGGTGCAAGCCTATGCTTTATTACATGTGGACACTTATTCTCTCTCACCAAAAAGCACATGGACCACACACACACACACGCACACACCACGCACACACACACGCACACACACACGCACACACACACACACACACACACACACACACACACACACGACAACACACAATCCAACAGTCACACACACACACACACATCACACACCACACACACCACACACACACACACACACACACACACACACACACACACACACAACACATTACACACACACACACATCACTCACAGCACACACACACACACAGCACACACACACACACACACACATACAACAACATACTACACACACACACACACAGACACACACACACACACACACACACACACACACACACACACACACACACACACACACACACACACATACACACACACACACACACACACACACACACACACACCACACACCACACACACACACACACACACACACACACACACACACATCAAACACACACACACATCCACACGAGCGTCACAATTCACACATCACAACACACACACACACACACACACACACACACACACACACACACAGCACACACACACACACACACACACACACACACACACACAACACATACACACACACACACACACACACACACACACACACACACACACACACACATCACACACACTACACACACACACACATACACACCACACACACACACCACAATCACAACACACACACACACACACACACACAACAACAACACACACACACACACACAACACACACACACACACACACACACACAACACACACACACACACACACACACAATACACACAACAACACACACACACCACACACACACAACACACACACAACAACAACACACACACCCACACACACACACAACACACAATAACACACACACCAGCACACACACACACACACACACACACACACATTGAGCATTTGCAGCCCCTTCCGTCCCACTCTCCCTTGGAGAAATGCACTCAAGGGAGAGCTGTGAATTCCCACTCTTGCTTGGCCGTTGCAAAGGGAGTTTAGTTGTTTCTTCCTAAGTTTTCTAATTATTCCGAGTGAAAGTTTGTTATGCGGTGGATCTGTCAACGGAGGAAAGGGATATTGGGCTCTTGTCTTTTCCATTTTTTATATATATTATATATATATATATATATATATATATATATATATATATATATATATATATATATATATATATATATTATATATATAATAGTTGTTTGTTTCGTGTATTGTTGGGAAAGTTTAGATGGTATTTTTTCTTCTTGTAAAAGGAATATCTTTTTTCTGTTTTCCATTCTTTCTTATTCCTACTTTAGCGGTCCTTCACTCTTCTTTCTAGTTATGGCACTTCTTGTTCGTCCTTTCCGGCTCTTTTCTCTTCCATCTTTTCATGTATAGCTTCTTCACCTCTTTATACCTTTTCTATTGTTCTTTTACTTCTTCCCTCCTCCTCCTTCTTGCCGTTTTTTGTTGCTATTGTCTGTTTACCTTTCTTGGTCTACTTTCTGTCATCCTCGTATCTTCTTTTTTTCCCATCCATTTTTTCCTCGCCTTCGAAGCGGCGATTGAGAAAGAAGTAAAAAAAAAAGAGTGTCCTTACATGAGTTTACAGCCAGGAACTCTCTATGAGAAATATTCGTCTTTGTCTGTACGTCTGTCTGTCTGTCAATCAATCTCTCTCTCTATCTCTCTCTCTCTCTCTCTCTCTCTCTCTCTCTCTCTCTCTCTCTCTCGTCTCTCTCTCTCTCTCTCTCTCTCTCTCTCTCAACTCTCTCTCACTCTTTCTCACTCACTTATCTATTAATATATACATCTATCTATCTACCCATATATCTGCCTATCTCGGTGTCTGCCTGTCTCTCTTCCTCTCTCACTAACATTCTCTCTCTCTTATCTTCTCCGCCGTCTTTCCTACTCTGAACACACGCGCTCTCCCTCCCTCCCCTCTCTCCTATTCCCTATCCTCTTTTCACCCCCCCCCCCCCCCCCCCCGCCCTCTCCCCGGTGTGTGACAGCGACCCTGAGTTCTTGTCGCGAGTGAATGCGCCCCCGCTTGATGTGTCCTCTCTCCTCCTTCTCTTTCATCTGGCTGTCTCCTCCTCCTCCTCCTCCTCCTCCTCCTCCTCCTCTCCTCCTCCTCCTTCCCCTTCTCCCTCCTCCTCTTCTCCTCCTCCCCTCCTCCTCCTTCCTCCTCCCCTCCTCCTCCTCCCTCCTCCCCTTCCCCTATTCCTCCTCTCCTCCTCTCTCCTCCTCACCTCCACCTCCTCCCTTCCTCCTCTCGCCTCTTCTCCTCCACCTCCTCCTCCTCCTCCTCCCTCCTCCTCCCACCTCCACTCACCTCTCCTCTACCTCCTCTGCTCCTGCTTCTCTCCTGCTGCTCTGCTGCTGCTGCTCCTCCTCCTCCCTCCTCCTCTCCTCCTCCTCCTCTCCTCTTCCTCCTCATCCTCCTGCTTCTCCTCCTCCTGCTGCTGTTGCTGCTGCTCTGCTGCTCCTTCTCCTCCTCCTCCTCCTTCCTCCACCTCCTCCTCCTCCTCCTCCTCCTTCCTCCTCCTCTCCTCCTCCTTTTCCTCCTCCACTTCCACCTCCTCCACTTCCACCTCCTCCTGCTCCTCCTCTCCTCCACCTCCTCTCCTCCAGGCTGTTTGTGCTGGGACAGGAGAGCACGAAAGGGCCGCGGGCTATTTGTGTACGAGGAGGAGGAGGAGGAGGAGGTAGTAAAAGAAGATGATGGAGGGGGGGATATGAGGGGAAGGAGGACGAGAATGTGAAGAAAGAAGAGGACAAAGAAGGAGAAGGGAGAGGAGGAGGAGGAGGAGAGTGAGAGAGAAGGGATCGAAAGGGGCGAAGGATGAGGTGGAGGAGGAGGAGGAGGAAACTGAGAGGAAAGCGGATGTGGAGAGTCAAACTCAAAGGAATAGGAGGAGAAGGAGAAAAGGGGGATGGGGAGAGGAGAAGGAAGATGAGGAGGGTGAGGGAGGAGAGGACAAGGAGAAGGGGTGAGAGAATGAGGATGAGGGGGGAGAGTGCGTAAAAATAGGAGAAACAGGATGAGAAGGAACCGGAAGAGAAGAAAAGGGAATGAGGAAGAGAAGAGACGCAGTTTAGGGAAGAGAATAAAGGAAAGGGAGGGGAAGAGGCTGAGGAGAAGGAGAAAGAATGAGGAGGATGAGTGGATAGGAAGAGATAGAGACAGAAAAGAAACATGTAAGAGGAAGATTACAAGGACGGCTTAAAAGAAAGAGAACAAAATGGAAAGAAGCTACAAAGAAAGGGGAAGCGAGGCGGGAAAAGAGGACACAACAGGAGGAATAAAAAAGAAACGCTGCACTGAAGGTAGAAGAGAAAGAGGAAGAAAGGAAGGCGGGGAAGAGGCGGTAAGAGGGGAGGGAATAGAGAAAGGCAAAGGAAGAAGGGACAAGAGAAGAAAACAAAAAGAACGAGAGTAAACAAGAAAGATAGGAAGAAGGAGAAAAGGAGATGGCAGAAGAGAAGGAAGGAAAGAATAGGTAGAAGTGAAAATAGAAAAGATGGAGGAACAAGAGAGAGTCAAGCCATGAAGATACATGGATACATACATAGACAGCTAGATACAAACATACATAAATACATATATACATACATAAACAGAAGAACAGATAGATAGAGTGATAAGGAGAAAGGTAGATAGATAGATTAGCGTGTATATATATGTTGTATATATATATATATATATATATATATATATATATATATATTATATATATTATATATATATATATATATATAGCACACACACACACACCACACATATATATAATATATATATATATATATATATATATATATATATATATATATATATATATATATATATATATATATATATATATATATATATATATATATATATATATATATACTATATATATATATATATATATATATATATATATATATATATATATATATATATATATATATATATATATATATATATATATATATATATATATATATATATATATATATATATATATATATAAAGGATGTTAATCCACAACTGCTGGGGATGCCATGTATTGCCATGATCCAGTGTCTCTCCCCCTCCGCTTCTCGTAACATGGGCTAGGACGGGGAATGATTTTCACGCTACATAGTTTCATGTTAATTTGAGTATATGAACTTTGATTGATAAGTAATTTTCAGATGATGAATGTCACACTAAAGCCTATGATTACAGCCAAGAACATTTATGACGTAGGGGGCGAGGGCTCCGGAGGCTCAGGTCAGGTCAATTCTATTTCGTCACGCCTGTTGAGTGTCGCTGGGAATCGGGAGGCTGGACCGAATGCCAACATGGTGATGGGAGAGGCATCCGCTGTAGTGGTGCTATACAGTGCACACACACACTCTCACTCTCATTCTCTCTCTCTCTCTCTCTTTTCTCCCTCCTCTGTCTCTCTCTCTCTCTCTCTCTCTGTCTCTCTCTCTCTGTCTCTCTGTCTCTCTGTCTCTCTGTCTCTCTCTCTCTCTCTCTCTCTCTCTCTCTCTCTCTCTCTCTCTCTCTCTCTCTCTCTCTCTCTCTCTCTCCTCTCTCACACACACACACACACACACACACGCACACACACACGCACAC